TATATAAAAAAAATAGTGTTTGTGTGTGTGTGTATATTTGCATGCAACTTCCGTGAGTATGTACCGCACCTACAGCTTCTGGGAAAGGTTTTTAAGGTATGTTTGATACATCATTAGGTGCGTAAAGGTGCCGAGATGAGTGCACACACATAAAAGTGTTGAAAAATTACTGTTTTCGCGATTAAAATTGAGTTTTTGTAAAGTTTTCGAAAAACCTCTTTGTTAGGGGCCATTAGCATTAGCATTAGCATGCGCCGGAAGCAGGAAGAGCCTATATAAAGGGGCAGAGGAACCGTTTTCACTTTTTTTTTTCTTGCTTGAATTCAGGAAGAAACATGCAAATTGAGGACTTTCACACGTCCTAGACGGGGCCAGGGTTGAAAAGCCGCGAAGCGGTTTTTCAACCCTGGTTCAGCCATTAAAATACTTCCAAACCCAAGCCGGATCTCTGTATTTTTAACTTTTTAACTTCTTCTAATTTTCCACATTCCCCGTCGATTCCCTACATACAGGGTGCGCCGGTCACCCCGCACTTGACGTCAGCTGCCCCACCCAAGAGAATATATAGACAAAAATGTCCTGGAAGAAGAAGGGGGTACCACCAGGTCCACATCCCAATTCAGCGTCGATCAGCCGTGCCCAAATCGGAGGCCAAATGGGCCCCCGGCTGGGCCCCAGAAAAGTTTTGGTCTGGCCTGGAGGTCTGGTGGGAGTTGGAATAAATTGTAGGGGTCGAAATAACGTGAATTATAAATTTTATCCGTGCGAACGTTTCTCGAAGGGTCTTTGCCAGACTCCGCTGAAGATGCCTAAAAGGCTCTGCTGGTTTTTTAAAGAAATTCCTCAAATGCCCATCATTAACACCTAGTCATTAGTGTCGCAAGTTTCCCAAATATTCTTTGCTAGCTTACCCCGTCAGAATTTCGAATAAATGCTGCTAGTCTGCCTGGCAATTCCCAAATGATCCCTGCTAGCCTAGCCCTAACGCATTCGCCAAATCGCTTTCCCAGACGGCAATACAAGAAAAACCAGCTTCCCCCCCCCCCCTGGCACCCAGATTTGGATTAGAAGCCGTTGATCTTTCTGGTAAAGGATTACGGGAATAGCAGACGCACCGAATTATAGCCCATGGTGATTCCAGAAATTGGTGGTGGAATAGGGACAATAATAAAAGCTGTCTCTTAACCCAAAATCTGGATACTTTCCAGGTCGGCGTCTCCTGATGCTCCAACAAGACAAGGAGCGCGAGAAGAAGATGGAGCTGGTTAGAACATCAAAGTTTTCTTAGCTCAAATCACTTTAGGAAGGAGCAGAGGCCGATACGAGAGATAGCGCCTATGCCACGCAGACGACAGCCATTGTGAGTTTTCCAGCGCCGCTGCCAAAGATCAGACAAGTGGAAGGGTAGTGCCAGCAAAACAAGTCCTACCTTATATAATTTGGTCGCGTATCTTTGTGTGTGTGTGTGTGCGGAGGTCAGTTTCGAGGCTCGATTTGAGGGCCTTCCCGTGTCCAAAATGCCCTAATTCTCCGTCACCCGGGGGAATCGACCCTCCTCTTTCCGATGGCGTTTTCAGAATCCCGATAAAATATAAGTTTACAAAGTTAAAGCCGGTTTTATTGATTTTTGGGGTTCCGGCGGGCTAATTTGCATAATGTGAAAAAATACAAATTTCCTCATTCTTGCCAGTTGCACTCGCGAGTTTGGTCGTCTCTTTGGATCTGCCTCTCGATGCTTTTTCTTCCCCTGCCCCGGGCAATGCCCAAAAAGGGTTTTTGGCACGTGATGTCAAGCATTGCATGGTGTAGTGGTTAGCGCTTCGCCGTGCTAATCTTACCATCGGAGGTTCGATCCTCGGATATCGTAGTTGTTTTGCTTTTTGCTCGGAAAGGGCGTTTTGGAGTGGATTTCCGTGTGGGGACGTTATTATGAAGTTAGTCACTCAAGCCGCAGCCAATAGAATGAAGCTACCCACTCAAGCATGCGCCGCAGGCCAAGGAATCAAGCTAACTGCTCAATCCAGCGCCGCAGAGTTTGAAACGACGCTAGCCGCTGAAGCTAGCGTCGCAGGTTAATGGTTCAGGCCGGCCCCTGAAACTAGCGCCCGAAGCTCAAGCTTGCGCCGCAGGCTTAAGTATGAAGCTAACCTCACAAGCTAGCGCCGCAGGCTTTAGAACGAAGCGAGCCGCTCAAGCTAGCGCCACAGGCTTTAGAACGAAAATTAGCCGCTCAAGCTAGCGCCGCAGGCTTTAGAACGATGCGAGCCGCTCAAGCTAGCGCCGCAGGCTTTAGAACGAAGCTAGCCGCTCAAGCTAGCGCCACAGGCTTTAGAACGAAGCTAGCCGCTCAAGCTAGCGCCGCAGGCTTTAGAACGAAGCGAGCCGCTTAAGCTAGCGCCGCAGGCTTCAGAACGAAGCTAGCCGCCCAAGCTAGCGCCGCAGGCTTTAGAACGAAGCTAGCCGCTCAAGCCGCCCAAGGTCAGAGCTAGCCCTTCAAAATTGCGCCGCAGGTTAAGGAGGCTCAAGCTTGCGCCGCAGGCTTAAGTATGAAGCTAACCTCACAAGCTAGCGCCGCAGGCTTTAGAACGAAGCCAGCCGCTCAAGCTAGCGCCGCAGGCTTTAGAACGAAGCTAGCCGCTCAAGCCGCCCAAGGTCAGAGCTAGCCCTTCAAAATTGCGCCGCAGGTTAAGGAGGCTCAAGCTAGCGCCACAGGCTTTAGAACGAAGCTAGCCGCACAAGCTAGCGCCGCAGGCTTTAGAACGAAGCCAGCCGCTCAAGCTAGCGCCGCAGGCTTTAGAACGAAGCCAGCCGCTCAAGCTAGCGCCGCAGGCTTTAGAACGAAGCCAGCCGCTCAAACTAGCGCCGCAGGCCAAAAAAGGAAGCTAATCCCTCAAGCTTGGGCCGCAGGATGAGGTAGCGACCTAGCCGATCAAACAAGCGCCGCAGGCCTAATAACGAGACTAGCAGTTTAAGCTTGCGCTGGATGCCAATACAAAGAGATTTGCATGGGAGATGCGTTTTTCTTTCTTCAGGGTAACTGTATGTGGAAGGGCGCTCAATTCATAGGGCCTAGACGGGGTCCAGCGGGGGAGAGTCGCGAAGCGGCTCCTCCCCCGCTGGTCTGTCAATAATTTAGCGCGTAGTGATTGACGTTGAAATCGGGCGCTGGAACTTTGCCAAAAATGGGGAAGCAGTTTTCCCCGACAAAAAACTCTTCCAGCTCTCCTCCGCCAATGCCAGCGACGAATCTCGCGGCCACTTGGAGAAAATCGTGGAAGTTAGGTCACCCGAATCCACGCCAAAATCACACAAAAAACTTTGGAAGCGAAAATCCAAAGATGTGAAGGAGAATGGAACAAAGTCCAGTCGAAAAAGTCGCGGAAGTCAAGAGAGCCGGGGTAGTAAACTCTCGGAACCGACCTACAGTCGAAGGAGTAGCGCCGAGGAGACGAATACGGTAATCTGATCGCGGGTCTTAAAACCTTAAGATTTTAGAAAACAAAGACAGATCGACCGACCCTCGATCCCGAAGAAGAAGAAGAGCGAACCGATAATGAGGAGGATTCGTTGTTGGGAGAGCTCGAGAGTACGCCAAGCCGACATAATAGCCGGAACAACAACCGGAATAGTCAGAGGTATGCCTATAAACCAGATAAAACGGGTACTTTTTTAGGTCCGCCAAATCTCCAGCGATCGAGGGGAAGAGTGACTTGTCTGAAATTCCGGAGGTAAAGGCTCCTTCTGAACTCTTTAAGCAAAATTCAGGAGCGTAAGGATTCTCTCTCGCTACTCTTCAACGAGGAGGATATGTCTTCGGTGTTGAGGTTCAAGAATCCAGCATTAGCACGAGTCGACTCGATCAACGATTCCGAATGCTCTTCTTCGATTCTTCAGCTCAATAACAATAGGCGACACCGGGTGAGTGCCACACGATTATTTATCGTATCCTACGGTATCTAAAAGTAGAAGTGCTGTTTTAGAAAAGCTCCAAGAAGCGATCGGTGAGGATATGCAAACGAGTCGAAGAGTTGCGAGGCGAATCCAGGCCTATGCTACACGAGGTAATGACTTTCCATACTTTATTAAAGGGATGCCCAACCATTTCGGGGTTCAAAAAGCAAAAACCATGCCGCGGGCGGGGGTCGAACCCGGGAGCCCAGTTTTGTAGGCCCGGATGGTATCCATTAGGCCATAGTGGCTAGCCATTGCTTGGGATGGGGACGGCACAAGAGGGAAAGGGGTCCGAATTCTGTGCGGCACTGGCGCCTCATTGCCGCACAAATTTCCCGTGTCATTTGTACTGCCCGGAATACATAACTATATATTTGCCACCAAAACCTTGGGTATCCCTTTAAACGTACACTACTCCAGATTCCAAACGACGCTACCCGATTGAGTGCCTCTGAGGTGACAGCCGAGAAATTGACGCCCGATCGTGAACGATGGCTGTCGAGTATGAGAAGAAAGGTAAAGACATCAATAGCGCTCGCGCTCTCTACTTTTCGAACCTTTTAAAACTCGTCAAACTCTCCTGATTCCAATCAAGACCCCTATCTCTTCTAGCTCCCCCGTTTCATCACCCACTGGAAGGTAAGAGCGCTCGCTAGGAAATCCGGGGACCCAGAATGTGGCCTGTACCCTGGCAGTCAAATGTTTGCCCGAAATAGTCCCCGAATATGTATCGATAAAAATTACAATATCTCTCCAAAAACAGCACAAACTCTTTAGGTAGCCCGTGCCCTCGAAGGAACCCGATTTACCGCACCGCCTCGTCGACGAAGCATCAGCGAGAGCAGGTAGCTTGTGAAAAAGTTTGTAAAAGTCACTGGGTAAAAAAAATGCATTGAAACCCGGTGACTTCTACAAAGCTTTCCGCGTAGAACTGGACAGATTCCGGGCTGATCTCGCCGAAAATAAAGTGACTATAGACCGCTGCCATCAGCCCCATATAGACAGCGAAGGTATAGAAAACAAGCCGGGAGGCTTACACATCTACTCTTCGTGAACCTACATCTATCTTTCGGGTTCTCTCACTGCTCCCACTAAACCAACTTAAAACTCTGTTAACCCATCACAGATATACCTTTCGGATCACTACACTTGTCATCGCCAATCTATCTAAAAAAGACCGAAAAATCGTGCAAATGGCCAACTAGCAGCGATTCTTTCAGAGACCCTAATTCTCTAAAAAAATTCTCGCGTTTCCCTGCAGCGACGCCTTCACCCACGATATCACCCATATGTATGTAAAATAGCAAACTTCTGAAAAAATATTGTATACTACCAGTTGCACACAACAGCGGTGCCTTCTCTCAACTATCAGTTCGTTAGACAAGGGTTAGTGATAACCACGCGGTATGATGTTCAGATTCGAATCAAACACCATCAATTTGGATTCAAAAGCGTCGAATCTGGACATCATCACCAAACTAGCGTCTCTAATGTACCCTTTTTAGTACATCCTCATCGTCTGGTGAAAATGAGGAGGATTGCGCGCGAAAAGCCGCTTCTGCCTCGCCGCCCAGGGACAAGGAGCCGAAGCACTTGATGGCGGTTGCAGGGCATACTCATTCTACGTTACTTTCCCCTGGACAGTAAGTTAGAGTACGTCAAAGAGCAAAAAACTACGTCAATTAACGAACGACAAATCAATAAAACATTTAGACAAGCCCGAAAAGGCTCGACGTTCTCGATCGTCAACCGTGAACGGGTGATAAACTCAATATTCTCGCCCGTATCGTTTTTCAACAAGCGCCGAAAGCAGACGAAAGCTGAGAAAAGGGCTCACAAGGTATCAAATCCAAAATTAACCAAAGATTAACACAATTTTTCAGGCTTTCCGTACGATCACCTTTATCGTCGGCTGTTTCGCCATTTTGTGGTCACCGTATTACGTTATGGTAAGTGTAAATCTAAAAGCCCCAGGAAGCAAAGTTCTAGTAAAAATGGTAAGCAGTTACTTAAAAACAATGAGTTCGAACTTGTCATGCCGTATTTTTCAGCTTTTCCGGCATTCTTACAATATTTTTAGGCGACCATCTACGGGTTCTGCAAGGGAGAGTGCATACCATCGCTGCTCTACACCCTCTCCTATTATATGTGCTATTTGAATAGCAGGTTTGAAAGATAAGTAAGAAGAAAATTAAAGTACGATTTTAGCGGTAACCCATTCGCCTACGCGCTCGCCAACCGGCAGTTCCGATCGGCGTTTATGAGAATGTTGAAGGGCGATTTCAACCCCAGGCGATGACAAATCAAAAACTAGCCTGAAGTTTTTTGAATGCATCGGAAAACGCTAAGTTGATCGTCGCGGAGAGTTCAGCTATTTTAAAATTTAACCGAGACTTTTAGAATTCAGAATTGGGCATATTTGTTTTGAAACCACTTTTGTCACACCTAATTAAATTATAAATTAAAAATAGGCCGTTCAAACTTCTGGTCATTTTGCAGATGCATTCAAAAATTACTTTTTCTTCTCACGGGTCGATTGATCTCCATACCCTCGGTTTTGCCAAAATCCCATCCCCTAAATCACATATCGGAGATCAATTTTTACATCACTTCTAAAGAAATATTTATGTTTTATTTTCTTCGCCCCGAACAGCTGTCTGTGCCAAAAATATTATTACGGTTATTCCCCGACCCCGAGATTCCCAGTAGCCCATTCGCATGCAATTTCCCCTCAAGCGCTTTATCAGCCAACTAATAAATATTTATCACAAGTATCACTCACTACCAATCACACATGTTGCACGAGAGATAAAGGTATTACAAACCCAAGGGATTAGAGCTATTACACCATGAAAATGCACACGATTCTGGGGGAAAATATCACAGCCGAAGAAAGGTCAATAAATATGTATAAGGCTCCCGGGAATTAAAGTGAGGGTACAGAAGGCAGGGAAAATAAGGGGAATAAGCGAAAAGGGAATGCCGCTTAAGCGCGAAAAACATATCATTTCAAAAGTTCTTTCACTTCCTCGGGGGTTTTGTGGGGTAGTTCGCCGTATCCGTTGGCAGGGTCCTCGATTTTGCGAACGATCACCGAATAGGCGGCCACAACATTTTCCGCGGTTCGTTGGGCGATGGATTCCCTAAAAAAAATACAAAAAATCAGATATATTTAAGAGGAAAGTACCGAATTCTCGTGCTGCTGACACGCGCAATCAGGTCCAGGCGGAAGCGGTCAGCGTGGGCCAAGAAGTTGTCGAATGAGCTGATGGCCGAGGCGAGGGCGGCGGCGTCGAGGCCAGGGATCGCTGACATTGGGCCCTAAAAAGCATAAAGAATATTAAAATAGCGTAAAATAATATGCAAACACATGCCAATCAAAATATTCATACCTGCTGTGTCGTATGGGCGGCTGCCTTCTGGTAGATGACCGAGAGTGACGTATTCGTGAGGATCGCTGAAGACTCTTCGGAGACGAGCACGTCCTCATTTCCTTCAATCTGGAAGAGTACGAATTTTCTCATTTCTATCTCTTTCTTAATTTGATATTTCTGTTTCGGGATTCTATAAAGGCTCACCAACGCGCGCAGCATCTCCAACCGCTCGTCCGTGTATTGGTACAGCATCACAGAGCTCTAAAGAATAACGAAATCTGGCTAATTGTAATAAAACCAACCTGGATGACAGACAGGCAATTCAAAGTGTAGACAGCGACGTCAAGCCCGGACGCCAATTGTGTGGCTACCAGCTGAACGGACCGAAGAAGCGGGTCCAAAATACATGCGAAAATCTAAAAACTTTTGATCGTAATTTTTCTTTTTTTTTTGCCTGAGCAAACTGCTCTTTCGGATTCTCGACAGTCATGGCCCCGTTGTGCGTGTCGAGGACGTCTTTTAGCAAATTGAGCAGCTGCTGGACGGCCGGAACTGGGAGTAGATCGTAGTCGGGTGGGCCCATCTAGCAAATACAAAATAACGATAAATTACGGTAACAAACCCGGTTCAAGATGCGTTGAACTGTCGTGGTCAGACCGGACATGAAGATGTTCGTGGCCAGCTCTTGCAACTCGCGAATGCTTTGGCAGAGCTCGGACGTATCACCGGTTAGTGTCCTAAAAATCTTTATAATTTGTTTTTCGGGCACCTACGCAAATTTCGACAAGTAGAAACCGAAAAGGCCCTTGACCTTGTAGACGGTGACCGCATCCGCTTCCCCGGAACCCAACGATTGCTCGACACGCACCTATACATCGAGAATTTGAATAAATTTTCAAAAATACCTTAAAAGGCCGGCACAACGAGCTGGAGACCTGGGAGAGCACATCGATTGTAGAATTCACTAAATTCCCAATTTAAAACAAAAACAAAACCAAAAACAACCTTCAGATCGGCAATTTTTCAAAAGCCCCGCCAGAAGGTCGCGCTCATTTTCGATGGCTTGATACATCCAGGCCAGCATGTCCCCGACGTAGCGCAGCGGCTCGTGGCTAAACCCAATCCGGGTATTCAAAAACTGAAACAGATTACCTCAGCATTTCTATCGGCTTTCCGCCATTCCCCCCGCGGGTCAGGGCTTCCAAGTAGATTCTGAAGACCAAAAATATCATAAATTCATTCAAACACGTACCGCAAAATTTGATTCTTCCTCGACAGCGCAAATTCGTCCAGGGCGTACTTGAACAAGACTTCTCTAGACAATAAATTTTCAGTTAAAAATGGAAGCTATTTACCTCTCTTGCAACGCGGAAAAGGATTGGATGAGAATCGGCTTAATATCGGTGAAATCACTGGTGAGAAGACGGCATTCACCTAAAAAACTGTTTTGAGACTTAGGACGTCTCATACGTTGAATGGATCGATAGAGGACTTCGTAGGCTTTTTCCAGCCGGCTTGACATGTCTTCCATAACCTAAAAGAGCCTATTTTGAAAGAAAATGCGAAATATACCTCCAAAGCTGCCACGTGTTCATTCGACGTGCGCACCAGTTGCTTGCTCTCATTGTAGATCTGCTGCACATGCTCGAGGGCCAGGAAGAAGTCGGGCGAGACGGTACCATCTAAAAAATGACTCCGCCAAAAACCGCTAAATTATACCATTTTGATCGCCGACAAGCGCCCGCTGTTCTTTTTCAGTCAAAGAGAATTTGTCCAAGAATTCGTTGACGATTGCAGCCTTTGCTTCCAAAAGCGTCCTAAAGCACGGTACATTCGTGCACTGATATTCGCTTACATTTTTGATCGAATCGCATTGGTTTGCGCTAAAAAGTGCTCCGTTTTCTCCTTATTTTCGGCTATCGTCTTCGTCAGCACATCACAGAGCCCGCGCATTTGCTGGGCCTTCGAGTGGATTTCTTGGACTCTGGTGTTCAACTAAACCAAAATTTTTGTGGCAGGCCTATTTATACCTTATGCAGATGATCCAGCTTGTTTCCATATTTAGCCAACAAAGCTTCATCCATCGTGCGCTCGTAGGCGATCGGTGAGGTGAGCGGGTGAAATTCGGTGGGAAGCGGCAAATGGCGGACGACCGCGAGGGCTTCTTGGTAGAGCTCGGCCTCACGTTGGAATTCCTGAGAAACACATAACCATTATTTAATTAGAGCCGTACCTCGTCTTTGAAATCCACTTTCTTGCACGCCGAAATGATCGATTCCACCTTCTCCATCAGCGGATCCGAGGGCCGGGCCCTGGCTGGTGGGGCTGACATCACACCAAGCTTCTGAAATTTATTCTTGAATTTGGTTCTTTGGCAAGAAAAGGAATGTGAGATGATCAAGTGAATCTAAGAATGCATGAATATTCACAACCAGGCTAGGGCAGTCAATAGCTCTAAATTTCTAACAAAGCTAATCACAATTTTATAGCTACATTTTGTGCATTTTGTAATCTACATGCCTAGATTCCATAGTCCCTAAACTTGCGCACTAGTGGCGTTTCATAGCGTTCACCAGGTTCTCTAAAATTATCGTGTATGTTAGCCTCTGCAGGTTTGTTTATTTCAACCATTTGTTGCTTTGGTGCAGCGGCCCAATGCATAGATTGTCTAATCGCCTCCTGGTTTCTCGCAAACTCCTCAAAATCGTATGGTAGGGGAGAATCTAACCAAAGCTCATAAATTCTTCGTTTCGCGGGGTCGGAGAGGGTTTCGTAGGCTGTTTTGAGTCGGACAAATGCATCATTATCTCCAGTAGCATCAGTAGTTTTGTCAGGGTGAAGCGCACGAGCTTTTGCGCGATATTCAGCGGTGATCTGTTCCGTGGTGGAGTTTCGGCTACAGCCAAGAATTTCATATAGCTCGGGCGCCTTTTTATTAGCACCGGAGAGAATTGAATCTACGACGGATTCCATCCTGGAATGGATAAAAAAATTTCTGATTATTTGGATGTGATTTACATGTTATTGATCCTACTAATGCTTTGCTGAAGATATTTGCGGTTTAAAACCCGTCGTGAACAGAACACTGAACAATGTCCCTGGCATAAATTTATCGGATTCGCAGAAACTCAAAGTGGGAAAATTTTGAACCGGAAACGGAGATGAAATGGAATAACGGGCTTTGGGAAACGCGTCAGTGGCACCAATGAATTTAACAATTTAGAACCTGAACGAAACTAGGAATGGGTAAACCAGTCCATCAAAAATTAGGAGATTTGCTGAAAAAACAATATTTGCAGATTTTGTTAAAAATGGGTGAGAACGGGAGGGATAACCTAAAGACGAAGGGACAGAAGAAATACGTAACCTTGAGCTTAGCAAATAGGCACGTGGGAGGCGAGGAGGGGACCGATTCGCCGTTGTGGGTACGGCGGATGGCCTCGGCGAGGATCATAGAGATGTCGATGCACTGGATCTTGGGGCATTTCTTCATGTTCTCCTCCTGCGGGATGGTGTTGGTGACGACAACAGCCTCGAAGGCAGAGTTGTTGAGGCGCTGCAGAGCGGGCCCCGAGAAGATGCCGTGGACGCAGAAGGCGTACACCTGAAAAATTGCATAGTAAAAAGTCAATTCATGAGCGATAAAACCTTTCAAGGATAATAACTACCCTTATCTGCGCCAGCCTCCTACCAGCTATCGGCGGCCAAACAGATCGTACCGCAAGTGTCAGCCATGTCATCAACTAGAATGGCGACCTTCTCGGCGACGTTGCCGACCAAAGTCATCTTCTCGACCTCGTTGAGCCGCGCTTACGCTCCTGGGAAAACCATAATATAATAACCGAAAGTAAACTACCTAGCCTTGTGAATAAGTGCAAACTCGACGTTGAGCCGATCGGCCATCGAGGTGACACGTTTGGCTCCTCCGGCATCCGGGGAAACGATGACCGACGACTGCCAGTTGGGGATCGACTCGCGGATGTACTTGAGGATGGCCGGTTCGGCGTAGAGGTTGTCCACCGGAATGTCGAAGAAACCCTGGATCTGTGAAGCGTGGAGGTCCATCGTGATGATGTGATCGGCGCCTGAAAAGAGATAATAAACTTAGGACTGCAGGGAATCCAGTAATGCAACACCTAACTATCCAAAAACTCACCAGCAACTGACAGCATATTGGCGACAAGCTTGGCCGAGATCGGGGCACGAGACTTGTCCTTCTTGTCCTGACGAGCGTACGGGAAGCACGGGATGACGGCGGCAACGCGAGATGATGAAGCTATCTTGCACGCGTTTATCATGATGAGCAGCTCCATCAGGTTGTCATTGATTTCACCACAAGCCGATTGGATGATGAAGACATCTTCGCCACGAACCTACAAAACAAAATTATGAAAATTTTCACTCAAAAAACAGTCTTCTCACTATCAAAGAAAAAAACCTACCGATTCCCCAATCTCCACATTCGTTTCGCGGTTCGAGAACTTCTTCAGCGAGGCCTTGCTGACGTCGAGCTGCAGCCGGTCGCAGATGCGGGCAGCCAACTCTGGGTGGGATGAGCCGGAGAAGATCTTGATGTTCGGCATCCTGGGCTTGTTGGCTTTGTCCGTGTCCTCCTTGACCGTCTCCGTCTCCAGATCCCTGGAAAAGGCGAATTGGTTTGTCTAAGTAGCAAAGGGAAACAAAAAGTAACGGGGAGGAATAAGCTGGTAAGAATAGTGACCAGAACCCCGCCGAGGCTGAAAAACGCAAATCTCAGGGAGTTATACGAGTGGATCAAGGAAAACAGATAAACGTATAAACTTAGGGTTCATAACAATGTTTTACGCTGTTAGAGTCTAAAAACAAAACCCAGAGAGTGTCTGCCCCGGTGGGCGGGCTACGCCGGGCTCCAAACTACGGCGGGCGGATAGCCAGGCCTCTCGTGGCAAAACTGGGGATGAAGCTGGAGATTTGTCGAAGGATTACTATTTTTCAGTGAATGAAGGGGATTACGGGAATATTACTTTATGTATCATTAACCTACAGACGGATGGAAGAACGAAAAGCCAAGACTAAAACCAGTGCTGTTTCTAACCGATATTAAAAGGAAAAATCAGCTTTTATTTTTTAAAAAACAACGATCCAGGCACCTATTTTCTTGTAAACCCATGACCGGAAATCAACGGGGCGCAATGCTAGCAAGGCTACAACATTTGTATGCCCTCGTACTGGACCCATCACGGCGTTTCAGAGCGCGCACGGGAGGGGTGGTCGAGGCGTGGTGTAGTGGTCTAAGGCGGCGGTCCAGCCCCGAAACAGGGGGTGCGGGTTCGATCCCCGAGGCCGCAAACCTTTGCGTTTTCTTTTTTGCTTTTGCTCCAAATGTTCCTAAAGGAATTCCGTAACCCTATGAAACCCAAAAAAAGCTGGCTAGAACCTTCTCCCCATGCGGAATAGGCCAGTAAAGATCGTAAGCTTATCGCACCCTCTTACAAGACCCATTCGCTAAATTTCGGCGCTGGGCTATTCTAAAACTAGGTGCAAAAGATAAAGCAAGTTCTGCTCTTAGTTTCTAGACTGCTAGTAGATTCGAAAACCGTCATAAACAAAAGTTATAGCTAATTGAAAACTTCAGAAAACATTGAATTGAAATCGTCGCGTAAATTTTTAAAACCCCAAGTTGACTCAATATTGGGTAGTTAATGACAGATACTCTTCCAGAAAATGTAGTTGAGGCGGTTAAGCCAGTATTTAGCTGGATTTGAGCTCAGACGATAACTTGCACCTCATTTTTCAAATTTCAAACCATCAGAAGTCGCGTTTTCAACGCTCGATTTTGACAAAACCACTATTAAAAGATAGAGCAAAGTCTCTTCTATTTTTTGAGCGGTCGTCTCAAATTGAAGAAAACTGCCGTATAAAAAAGTTACAAAGGCTTGAAAGCGCAGAAGACAGACCCCCTTTGCTTTAAGAACCAATTACGCGTCGATTGGAGCGTGCCGTAGCCTGGCCCCGCCTTCCCCTCTCATGCGCGTTTTTCTTAAAGGATGAATCGCCGTG